TCAGTGAGATAGGGATGATTTAACCAGGACCCAGAGAACTCCCTGGGTGACCGCCACCACGTTTTATATCCTTATTCGACACTCTACCTCATGACTGTGGGCTGACCACAGAGGGGGCGGGCCTGGGATTCTATAGCCGCCTGGTCACCCTGTAAGTCCTCAGGGACATCTGTCAGCAGTGCTGGGTCTGAGGGTGTCCAATCCCTTTAGGGACTTAAGCTCTGCTGGGTCCTGAGAGGTGGGGCATCTCAGGGCACAGGGGGTGGCCAGCAGGGTGGTTTCCACTCGGTGGCTAAGTGAAGAGTTGACACTCAGGCTTTGATATTTGCTAAAGGCCGCTTGACACCCCGTATGGCTGGGGCTGAATGTGCCAAAACCTTAGTGACTTTGGAGATGAGTTTTCCCGAGGAAGTGAAATTGGAAGGGAACTGAGGGAGGAGGAGTCGGAACAGATGGAAAGAAGAGGCTGTAGGTAGACTGACACACTCAAGATGGCTGACTTCCTCACACTCAAGGTGGCTGACTTCCTCATACTCAAGATGGCTGACTTCCTCATACTCAAGATGGCTGACTTCCTCATACTCAAGATGGCTGACTTCCTCATACTCAAGATGGCTGACTTCCTCATACTCAAGATGGCTGATTTCCTCACACTCAAGGTGACTGACTTCCTCAATACTCAAGATGGCTGACTTCCTGCTCCTGCTTGTTCAGGAGGAAGACTTGGTGGGCTTTTTCCTGATGGAGGGAACTATTCAAGGGGCTTTCAAACCTCCTAGGGTGGAGTTCCTGTGGTGAGAGCCAATCAGTTTCCCTTTCTTTGTCTAGATTTGCCAGTCCCTGCAGTAGTTAAACAGCCAGTACTGGGTGTAAAAGGGAACTCACCCCAAGCCCCAAACTCATAAAAGTTTGTCTCTGCTACACAATCTCAGACACCATCTCTGGATCCCCTTCCATTCTGGGGAGTCTCTGTGTGCCTTGCTCATGCTTGTACTGGTGTTCCCTCCCTGCCTCCCTCCCTTTCTTCCTCCCTCCCTCCTCCTGTCTCTTTCTCTCTCCCCACCCCTACCATGCCTTCCATGCTTTTTCTGCCTAAAAAAACCCAATCAATCTATCATCTATCTATCTATCTATCTATCTATCTATCTATCTATCTACCTACCTACCTATTATCTATTTGTCTGTCTATCTATTATGTATCTATCTGTCTGTCTATTATCTATCTGTCTATCTGTCTATATATTATCTATCATCTATCTATTATCTATTTGTCCATCTATTATCTATCTATCTGTCTGTCTATTATCTATTTGTCTGTCGATATATTATCTATCATCTATCTATCTGTCTATTATCTATCTATTTGTCTGTCTGTCTGTCTGTCTGTCTGTCTGTCTATCTATCTATCTATCTATCTATCTATCTATCTATCTATCTATCTATCCATCCATCCATCATCTATCTCTGCTTGCACAGGTGAGTTTATGTGTATCCTGTGTATGCAGGAGCCTGCAGAGGCAGGAAGAGGGCGTCGGACCCCATGGGGCTGGAGCTCCAGATGATTGAGGGGACAGACTCTGGGGCCTCCGCAAGAGCAGCTGGCACCCACCACCGAGCTGTCTTTCCAGTTCCCCTGCTTCCCTTTTATTCTTTACATTGGACATGTGCACATGCACCCACACACGTGTATATTATACACATGAAAACGGAGAAGAAAACGCTCAGCTTCCATCTGGTTAAGCGACCTGTGTCTGTCACCATTGGATCAGGTGACCTCTGCGAACTTCCGTCGCTGTTGCCTGTGACCTGTCTGCTGCAGACACTGCCTTCATCACCTTCTGCTGGGCGCCGTCCCTGCACAGAGTGATTTTTTGTGGCAGCTTCCTCCAGTCTCCTCTGCAGCTATTTCTGGGGCCCACTTTCTAGCAGGGGCACCCCCAGACTGCTTTGCGTGGCTTCTTGTCTCCTCAAATATCGGTTTCCAAAATTAAACTGCTTGTCCCCGAGAACACCGCTTTCCTCCTCCTTGTCCCCAGTCAATTCGTGCTGCGGCAGTGGACAGCCTCTCCAGCTAACAGATTCTGAATTTTTATTAGATTCCGTTGTGGAATAGACCTCTTTCTACAAGTCCTGTCTTATCCTCCCCTGGATCTTGCCGGCCGTCAAACTTCATGAGCACATTAGAGCAGCCAGGCGCTTTCAAAGCCTGTGCTGACATCCCGTTAGGCGCCGTCAGCACTGCCCGAGACATGGAACCCAATCGGACAGGAAGAAAACCGATGCTTCTGGATTGCCATGGAAGGGAGAATGCTCTATTCTACCCCTCAAATCTCCAAAAGGGAAAAGGGATGCCCCATACTGTCCAGGCCAGCACTGGGATTCTGGGCTATGGACCATGCCCCGTCCATGGTTCCTCTGGGAACTTTCCAGGCTGGCTCAGGGGCTGTGCTAGTCAGCAGCCCCATTGCTGTAACGAATGCCTAATAACTAACTCATGAAGATGCAAGGCTTACTTCAGCTCCTGGTTTCAGGGGTTTCTGTCATGACTGGTGGACTCTGTGACTTTGGGTCTTGGTGGCGCAAAGTGTGTGATGTTGGAGACTGCTTACTCAAAGGCCACCTCTTGAATACCTCTCCCTGCCCTCTGTCTCCTAAAGAGCTCACTACCACTCAACAGAGCCAGACTGACACACACACACACACACACACACACACACACACATCTCAGTACACCCTGTTCTAAACTACACATCCTCCATCTGAGGATAAAAGGTGGCCGGGACATATGGGTAATGTCTCCCTAAGGCCACTGCTACTCGTCATGTACCCTGAACTGAGACTGTGGGCTAGCTCAGTGAGATCACCGCACACTTTGCTATAAGCCCGCACGGCTCGGCAGCCCAGTCGATGGGGGTCACACTCCACCATGGCCCCCCACGCTCCGCCACGGACCCTGTGGCTCAGCCCACGTTCCGCCATGGCACACCTGCGTGGCTCTGGCTCCCAGCTCCACTGTCTCACCAGGCTTTCCTGGCCACACAAGTGATCTGTCCACTACGTGACAGAGTGGGCACTTACGAAAAGACACCATTCCTTCCAAGGAAGACGCCTGCAATTAACTGGGGTTTGGGAAGAGCATTCTGCCTCTTCTTCCACCCATGTTTTCATTTAGCATATTTTATCAGAATGAAATGCCTTAACGAGCACGGAACTAGCTAATCCCAGCTGAAGCTCTGAGTGTGCCAGCCCCGCTGCCCGCCCCTCAAGCTGCATTCGTGCTCTGATGTGGGCTTTTGGAGAACTGCCCGGAACACAGACAGGAAACTCGTGGGCTTCCTGCAGATAACACTGTCATACAGTGAACAGTGGACCAGAGTCACGGTCTGCACCCTGTGAGAGTCAGGAACAGAAAATGAGGGCACGATGCAATGTGGTTGTATAAATGAAGGGACAAAGGCCAGGGATTTGGGGATACTGCAGTGTTCCTGAGCCTTCCACTCTCCCTGTTCCTGAACACACCTTCTGGGTGTGAGCAGACCCGGGTCCTCAGCTCACCTCTGTCGCTCACTCACTCATTCCCCGGGAGAATGCCGCAAATGCAGGACCTTCCCGGAGGCTGCAGATGACTGCCTGGGAGTTGCTACTTATTTTCAAGAATTTGGCTCAATGGGCTCACGGCCACTCGTCCTGGTCATATGCTGCCTGGAGCCTGCTCGGCTCACACCCGAGTCCCAGAGAGCCTCAGAAGAGCAAGCCGGCTCCAAGGAAGAGAAGGTCTGGGCTCGGTGGCCCAGGCCCCTCCCCCTACCCCCTTCCCCCCCGTTTGTATGTTCTTTTGCACCTGATGATGCTCAGGGGGGTCTGCCGCCGTACCTGGGTGCATCTCTAAGACACACACCGCTGTTTCCACAGCCTAGGCTCACACAGAAGCCCCAGGGTGGATGTGTTTGGGCTGTTTTCTCTGAGTCGCCAGCCATCATGCCCATAGCCACCTTCCATGTCACACACACACACACACACACACACACACACACACACACACACACACACACACGCTGTGCACTGTTGCTGACGTGGCTGGATGAAACTCTTCTCAGAACGAACTGATTCATTTTAAACATGAAAGACTCGCAGAAAACCCTTCAGGGAAGGACAACAGGGTGGCGGTCGGATGCACCATCTGGGGAGGGCTGAGGCTTGTGCGTAGAATGGGGACCACCGCGGGGGGGGGGGCGGGCTGCTGTCAGTCAGTCAGCACCATCTTAGGAGCCATCGTGGACGGTGGGGCGGCCAACAGCCAGGAGCTGAGGTTCCGAGATAGCATTTCCCTCCTCGGCAAGCCCCCTCCAGGCTCCGAGCCGCCTTTGTGCTGCATGCGCCAATGCCAGGATTTCTACTATAAACCCCTGGACACTCTTGGATAGACCAGGAACCCTGCCCCGAAGGTCAGACAGCAGTGACCAAGAGATCGGCGGGTGGGGGGAGGCGGGGGAGGCTCTGATGATATCTGCACACTAAAAACACAACTCTGGTCTACACGGAAAGGAACAAACAACAGAGCAGCAGGCCTGAGAACTGACGCCTCTTTCTGTGTACTCCGGCCTCCTGTGACTCTTGCAATGCCCCAGAACCATCGGTTTCATAGGGCTTTCCCATGATCGTGCCCCCGCATTTCCAAGTATGACCATCGTCACAGCTGTGTAAGTGCCCCATGGGGAAAACACAGTCGGATCACAGACAGGTGTCAGAGGCCAGAGGCCACAACCTGAACCACACCAGCTTCCGCAGACGGGACAGGGAGCTGCAAATAATCCCCCAAGAGTATTTGCTGCCACCTGATAGGCCTGTTGGCCCGGAGGAAGAGCGTCCCTGCCGAGCGGTCTTGGCTCCACATTTTACCACATTTTTTTAAAAACTGGAATAGCGCTTCCCACACCCCGGAACCTGCCCTGGTTCTGGACTGTCCAGAGCAGCCATCAGGACAGCCAAGACACACTCACCCTGACAAGCTGTTGCGGGAAGGGCCCACGGGAGTTCTCGGGCACGTTGATGGGTGGGATGACCCAGTCTCGCTTCTGCCTCCTCAGCCCGCTGGAACTCTGACGCTGGGGCCACGGCAGTAGCATGTCCTTCGGGGGCTGAGAGGGGTCCAGGGTCACTGTCTTCCCTTTCTGAGGAGGGAGAGTGAGAGATGTCAGGTTAGGTACCTGTCAGGAGCGTCTGTGTTCACCCCTATGGATATGGAAAAGTGGGGGACACTGGGGAAGGGGCAAAGGTCTTGTCTTTTGCTGCGGAATTAGAAGTAGAAACCACCAAAGGGAGTCGACATGGGTCCTCAATGGACTGTATCTAAGGGGTTCCTTTTGTCTTTAAATTCTCTCGGTGCTCGGGATGGCACCCACAGCTTCGTGCTAAGTGACAGGATTCAAAAGAGCATCACAAAGGGTTGCCAGCCCCCATGTAAAGAGCTTCTGTAAACCAATAATTTCTTTCATGGCAAGAAAGGAACATGCATAGGTAGTTCATACCACAATAGGTGCCGAACACCCATAAACACGTAGACATCTTCTACGAATCAAAAATGCAAATGTAAGTGATAGATACATCCCTTCATCCCCAACATGGATTGAGACATTTGTCAGTGGTGGGGGATGGCTGAGGCCTTGTGTAACAGATTGGGCGCTGAGTGGGTTAAGCGCTTCCTGTCATGACTCACTGGCATAGTGGAGTCCCCTTTTGCTGAGCTCCAGGCATGAGTGAAGTCATGGACACCCTGAGCATTTACTCCATGGGCTAGCGTTCCCCGTGGACAGCCAGACAGCCATAGAGTCAGCCTTGTGGACAGAAAGCCTCAATGCTGACCCCATGGACAGACAGGCTGAGCATCCACTCTGAGGATGGACACCTTTACATGTTGTAGTCCTGGCTGATTTGGAAACTCCATTGAACTTACAGCCATGCTCCTGCCTCAGCCTCCCAAGTGCCAGCTGTCACTTCTGGAGCCCTGAATGCTACCGAGTGGCACCCCTTTGCCTGCGTTCGATGGGGGTGGGCAGCAGGCTAGAGGAGATGCGCACATTCCCATGGAAGAGGGAACCTGGGGTTTGTCTCCCGGCGCCCAGGTTGTCTTTTAACCCCGCTGGGAGCCTGAGAGGACAGGGTTTCTATTTCAGGCTGGCCCTGCCCCTGCAACTGTACACTAAGGAGCTGGTTAGAAACATCCATTCCTCAGATCCAGGCCTGGCCAGATCTGGGGTGGGCTGGATATTTCTGTCTATTGAGTCCTTGGGTGAAGGACATGGTTGGTTTTCAGACACACGTGTTCATGGCTGTTAGTAAGTATTCAGGCATCTGTACTGGCTTGCCCTTGGAGTCCTGACAGGACACGCCCTCAGCTGCAGCCACTAAGAGCAACACACCTGTGTATGTTCACTGTGTTCCCTTTTAAAAGGGCCCTGCCCACCTCCCATCCTTCTCTCTCTTTCTCTTTGCTTCTCTGCCTCTCTCTCTCTCTCTCTCTCTCTCTCTCTCTCTCTCTCTCTCTCTCTCTCTCTCTCTCTCTCTCTCTCTCTCTCTGTCTCTCTCTCTGCCTCTCTTTTTTTCTGCTGTTCTTGTCCCCAGAGGCTGGTCTCCCCTCTTCCCCACTTTCCCCTCAATTAAAAAAAAAAACCTCCACCTAAGCTCTGTCTCACGGCATCCTTCTCTCACAGGTTGCTTTTAAAAATTGCAACCATGGCAAGATTAGGATGGATGATTGTCTGCTGCTTCACGGTTTCAGGATCCAGGCCGCGGGTGCTGGGGCTTCTGGAGGCCTGGGGGGATTCTGCCGAGCTGCAGGGAGAGGACAAGTCAGTGGGTCAGAAGCTGGTTTTAACCGGGACCACTCCCACAACCTTATGGAAGACAGACTCACTGCTCAGGAGACTCCAACACTGTGGTCATGAATGGGAGAGTGGGCTTCCCGAAAAAGAAGCTGGTCCACCAGTGGCCAGGGTCGGCCTTGGGGAGACAGGGGGAGGGGTGTGAGACAGGAAGTTCCTGGAGTGGGAGGGACACTCGGCACTTCTGCAGGAGCTGTGCTGGACGACGAGGCTGCCACAAGCTAGCTGCTGGAAGGGATGGCTGCCCTACTTCAGGGCCAGCGAGCTGTGGAGACCTCTCCTGAGACTGCTGCCAAAGTCTCCTGAGCGCGCCAGAGACCCCTCCCTCCCTCCTTGTGGGAGACCTCCACTCCATGACCCGCACATGAATGATGATTTGTGTCTTCTTCTTCTTCTTCTTCTTCTTCTTCTTCTTCTTCTTCTTCTTCTTCTTCTTCTTCTTCTTCTTCTTCTTCTTCTTCTTCTTCTTCTTCTTCTTCCTCTTCCTCTCCTTCTCCTTCTCCTTCTCCTTCTCCTGCTCCTTCTCCTCCTCCTCTTCCTCATTTTAAGAGGGGAACTCACTCTACACTTCAGTCAGGCTTTGGACTTGTGATCTTCATGCCTCTGTCCCAGGAGTAGCTGGAACCACAACCCTGCGGCCACAGGACCTGTCCTCATTCGGAGCACATCTGCTGAGACTCAAGTAGCTGAATCTCCCGGGGAGGACAGCCTCTGGGAGGGAATTACGTTTGTCCTCAGTGCTCTGAGTGTGTGGTGTGGCAGAGCCCACCAGGCCATCTCTCACACAGAGGTGTCTCTTCCACAGTAGCTGCGGCCACCGAGGCCTCTAATTGTAGACTGGAAACTCCAAGAGCCTCTCACAGATCTGCTTAAAAACCTGGCTTTATCTTCATTCGTTTAGGAAGTGCTTGCACGGCATTAATTTCCCCAGTGTTGTTTAAATAAATTACACATATTTGCTTCTGTTTTAAAGCTGTGAGACAAATGTAATAACAAAATCTGGAGAAAGTCAATGCCAGACCTGCGCAGGCTTCTGCCTGGAAGAAGCACCCAGTGCTCTGGAAGAAAACCGTCGAAGGAAGGCAATTAGCGGCCAGCCTAGTGGGAAAGGCACGTTCTCCCAGACAGATGAACATCCGGGTCCTTTCTGAATGTAAATGTGGAAATCTGTTCTGGATGATGCTTCTGCTTCCCCCCCCGGGCACATTCTCTCCAACCGTGGACACCTGCGGATTCTCTTCTCCCTGTTTCTGCCTGAGGATGACTGGTGATGGGTAAGGGGAGGTGAGCTTCATCATTGCTGCTAAGCATTGCAGAATACGTCCACACCTGTGTGACACTCTGCACGTGAATGCCCACCTGGAACACACACACACACACACACACACACACCTGCAATACATCCATACCTGTGCGACACTCTGCATGTGAATGCCCACCTGGAACACACACCTGCAATACATCCACACCTGTGTGACACACAGCATGTGAATGCCCACCTGGCACACACACACACACACACCTGCAATACATCCACACCTGTGCGACACTCTGCACGTGTACACACACCTGGCACACACACACAGACAGGTGTGTGTTCATATAGACATGTGCCTGGACTCCTCTGCAGACTGCTCCTTGCCCAGTTTCTGCATCTCAGTGTCGTGAGTGTCCCTGGACATGCTGCCTAACAGTTTCTTCCTCACTGTCTTGCTCCTTCTCAGCTGGCCTCAGCTTTCTTAAAGTAGCGGGTGCCGAAGGGAAGCCTTGCTCGCACCCAGTGTGGCGGCGGTCTGGCCAATCAAACATACAGCTTCGAGAGGAAAGACCCACCTTGTCCCTTGTGGCTGGGCTTTGGGGTAACTGGAAGATGAGTGGGTGATGGAAGAGGAGAAGTTTGACGGGAGGAATCCTAGGAGCCTGGGTCTGCTTTCCCCTAGAGCAGTTCAAGCTTATGGGTGGAGACTCGCATATGAGATATCCTACCTGTCAGATTATGATTCATAACTATGGCAAAAATCACGGTGATGAAATCGCAGTGAAATAATTTTATGGTTGGGGTCACCACAACACGAGGAACTGTATTAAAGGGTCGCAGCATTAGGAAGGTTGGGAACAACCATCCTAGAGTCTCATAGCTAAGCCCTGCCCCACCTCTCTGCTTTAGGGAGGTCTGTGAGGAGCTTCCTGCAGTTGAGACCTTCTCCATGCTCCTGGGTCCCAGGTTCTAAGACCCAGTTGTCCTGTACCCTTGCTTCCTGGCTTTGGGCTGGTGAGGCGGTGGATTGCGTAGGAACAAGGCGAGGCTAGGACCATGTGTCTCCAAGGCACCAGCTATCCAGTCAGACTCTGGTAGTCCCAAATCTGTTTGGTTTCCCTTCATTCTCCTCCACTCCTCCCTCCCTCTTCTCTCTTTCCTTGAGTGAGGATCTCACGTAGCACAGGCTGGCCTTGAACTCGTGATTCTCTAGCTTCTGCCTCGGAAGTGCTGGGATCGCAGGTGTTTCACCACCGCACTAGTCTTTTCCTCTCCTCTCCTCTCCTCTCCTCTCCTCTCCTCTCCTCTCCTCTCCTCTCCTCTCCTCTCCTCTCCTCTCCTCTCCTCTCCTCTCCTCTCCTCTCCTCTCTCTCTCTCTCTCTCTCTCTCTCTCTCTCTCTCTCTCTCTCTCTCTCTCTCTCTCTCTCTCTCTCTCTCTCTCTCTCTCTCTCTCTCTCTCTCAAATCTGAATCCTGGAGATTAACCTCAGGTCTTCATGAATGCAAGGAAAGTGTTTTAATGACTAAGCCACATCTTCTGCATTGGACATAGCGTTTTAAAGACAAATGTCACCCTGAGCTCTCATGAGCTGGGCAATGGCAGGACCCTCTGGCGGCATGTGCATGTTCTGCTTATTGTGTGTATGTATGCTTGTGTGCATGCATGCGTGTGTGTGTGTGTGTGTGTGTGTGTGTGTGTGTGTCTGTGCTTGTGTGTGTATCCTGGGAGGGCTGGGTTGGGGGTTTGGCAGCCATTCCATATCAGCTGGTCTTGGGTCCCTCTTGGTGGGCTTCCTGGATCCACCTCAAGTATAGCCACCTTCCCTTCCCTCTCCCTCTCTGGACCATGGCAAGACGCTGAAGCCTGAGGACATGTAGGCTGTCACTTCAGGGAAGAGGTTAGAGTGAATTAAAAAGGGTAAGAGGGAGGCATGCATACAGTGGAGGCCTGAGGATTTACCATGGAAGGCAGAGGCTCTGGCTAGCCAGCAGCCTGTATTTGGAGAAGAAAGCGCTGGCCGCAGTGGCCCCAC